TGCTTTAGACCACTGAGCCATCTCACCAGCCCCTGTTTGTTTGTTTTTGAGACCGAGTCTTGCTACGTAGCCTAGTCTGGCCTTGAACTCATGGAGATCCTCCTGCCTCCATCACCCAAGTGCTGGGATTACAGGCACCAGACCCAGCTAAAGCACTCTGTAATAAGCCCACTGTGTGCTGCCACTGTGATGGCAGTGCTGATCCTCAGGCCCCGCTGTCCACAGCCCGAGAGCACTTGGAGTAGCAGGCTCAACGCTGTGAAACAGATGAGCTCAGTGAAAATTCACAGCGACCTCAGATGCTAGACCTGTTGGGACCCCCATCTCACACACAAACTAGCTTCAGGTCAGGGAGGGCGCAGCCTTCGCCACGGGCCTGAGAGGACTGGGCTCAAACCCAGCTCTGTCTGGGTAAGGACCCCACAGACCTCTCCCGAGTTGGCATCAAAAACTGCAAGCTGGGCATGAGGTCACACACCTGGTATCCCAGCACTCAGGGGGGCTGAGGCAAGAAGATGGAAACTTTGAGCCCAGCCTCAGCAACTTATTAACAAGACCCTGTCTCAAAATTAAAAAAAAAAAAATTTAAAATATAAGAGGGACTGGATATGCTGTTCAGGGCAAAGACCCTGGCTTCAATTCCTAGTGCCAAAAGAAAGAAAGAAAGAAAGAAAGAAAGAAAGAAAGAAAGAAAGAAAGAAAGAAAGAAAGAAAGAGAAAGAAGGAAAGAAAGGAAAGCAGGTGAGGCTGGGGAGATGTCTCAGTGGAACAAGTGCTTCCCTGGCAAGCATAAGGGTCTGAGTTTAATCCCTTGTTCTAAAAAAAAAAAAAAAAAGAAAGAAAGAAAAAGAAAGAAAGAAAGGAAAGAAGGATGGAAGGAAGGAAGGGAAAGTGAGGGGTTTATGTCCCTGCCGCTCTGAGACGATGGAGATGGGGAAGCCTGGGGGTGGCCGGACTCTGGCTCCCGGGCATATCAGCTTCCTAGTTTAGCCTCGGCCTGTGATACAAGTTCTCAGAAGTGACAGAACTCTGGGAAGAAAAGGCAGGCGGCTCCCACTTCCTGGACTGCCTCAGGACCTGCATGTCTTGGGGGAGGCTTGGAATCAGGACCCACAAAGAGCCCTGCCTCTTCTCCATAGGTTACCTGCTGTCAGTCTCAGGGGTTCCACCATAGAGTGGGAGCCAGATACCCACCCTGGAGAGTTTCAAGAATGCCCTAGAGAGGGGCTGGTGAGATGGCTCAGTGGTCTAAAGCACCTACTTAGAACAAGCTTAGCAAAGCACAGGGACTGTGGTTCAATCCCCCAGCACCACATGCCAGCCAGCCCTGCCCCCTGGTGGGCTGAGCTGGCCACACACACACACACACACACACACACACACATAAATAAAGTTAAAAAAAAAAAAAGAATGCCCTAGAGAATTCTGAAAGTGCCAGGCACTAGATACACAGATCCCAGGACAACACTCCATTCGCTGCTGAGAGGACCCAGCAACAGGAGCCCAGCACTGACCCAGGCTGTGTGGCCCAGGCTCAGTGCAGCTTTGATTCTGAGAAGGACCTAACAGAGATGGACAGGGTCCACACCAGGCTGGCCAGGCCATGTCCTCTCAGCCTCTGATGTCCTGCTGCAGGGGGCTATCCCCCAAAGAATGGCTGTGACTTCCCTGAGATGTATGTTTGCTTGTTTGAGTACAGGGGCTTGAGCTCAAGTCTTTCACACTGAGCTACATCTCTGGCCCTTTTTAACTTTTATTTTGAGATGAGGTCTCACGAAATCATATGGCCTGGGCTGGTCTTGAACTTGTGATACTCCTGCATCAGCTTCCCACAGTGCTGGGTCCACAGGTATGGGCCACCATTACAGGTGCGCAGCATTTCCTGAATGGCAAGTGAGTGCTAGGCCAGTGGATAGCTCTGGTTCCCATGTGCACTGTGCTGGGGAGGACTATTCATCCCATTTTGTAGATAAAGAAAGAGGCTGAGAGAGGTTAGACAACTTGCCTAAAGTCACACAGCCAGGAAGGCCCAGAGACAGGGTGGGGAAATTGCTCTCGGTGACTCTTAAGACCAGGGTCCCGGCTCTATGCCACAGGGCCTCTTGGTGCCTCGTCTCCCAAAAGTCCATGGGGGGCACTGCTGGGCATTCAGTAAAGACTATGACAGGCTGGTGGAGACTTGTGCATGACTCTCCATGGTCCCCCACTGACAAAAGTGGTGCACCCACCTCCTATGACCTCATGTGGCCTCGTCCCTTGGCATCTGAGGCACCGGACATGAATACGGTGCAGAATGGGCTGAGTCCACCCCCCACATCTCAGCTTATTTTTTCTTTTTTATGAAGTTCAGTTCACGAAGCTGAACCCAGGGCTTTTGCGCCGAGCTACATCCACGGCCCTTTTGGATCTTTTATTTTGAGACAGGGCCTCACTAAGTCACTCAGTTGCCCAGGCTGAGCTTGAACATGTGATCCTTCTGCCTCAGCCTTCCAAAGCACTGAGCTCACAAGCATGTGCTCCCACACGTGGCCTCTGCCTACTCCAAGCTGTGCCATCTTCTGTGCGTGGATTCATAAGAAAAGCAACTCTAAGGCCAGGGAGATGGCTCAGTAGAATAAGCGCTTGCCTGGCAAGTGCAATGGCCTGAGTTCAATCCCTGGTTCTGGAGAGAGAGAGAGAGAGAGAGAGAGAGAGAGAGAGAGAGAGAGAGAGAGAGAGGCAACCCTAGACACATTTCCCAAGACCTTCTGGGGGCCTGGTCACGCCGAGGCCTTGGGGGTTTCTGTGAGTAGCCCCCTGCCTGGGGCAAGGTCCTCCCTGCCGCCAGGAGCCCGAGGTGCCCACTCACACTGGATATACCAGGCTCTCCAGATGGCGTTGTTGAGGCGGATCTTGTCCCGGCACAGCAACTTGAGGCCTTTGAAGTTCTTCCACTTGGGTGAGACCAGCTTGCCACTGTTGGGGAGAGGGAGGGTGAGGCTGGGGTGTGGACAAGAAGGAGCTCCGCACATGGAGGCTCTCACATTTGCTGCAACCAGGCTTCCATCTAGGGTTGGAATTTGAGGTACCTCCAGATCCCACTGCTCGACTGCCTACTTGAAGTTCCTACCCTGGTATCTGACTGTGCAGATGCCCTCCTAGGCGCCCATCTGTTCCTGCCTGTCCATCTGCTCCCCAAGCCACAGCCGAGCCATGCCTGCCCTGTCAGCTTGAGGCTCAGAACCACAAGGTCCTGTGTGGCCCAAAGGTTCCCTCCTCTTAGGCCAACTGGGGAAAGGCCTTGGACTTGGAAGTATGATTGAGAAATATAATCTGTGTTTAAATTTTTAAAATGATTACAGCAAAAGACCATTGCTGTGAGCTCCTCTCAGAACACTTCCCTTCCTTTCTAACGCACTGATCCCAGCACTCATGGCACTTTCTGCAGCAGTTCTGGAAGTCCTCTTTCACAAGGGTCTCAGCTGCACTGTTGTGACTGCTCTGATGTCCTGAATCAATTCAACACGTTTCTCTCTCATCGACATTTTGACCTTGGGAAACAGCAGAAGTCACATGATGCCAGGTCCGGTGGATAAGGTGGATGAGCACACACCAGCATACTTTTACAAGTCTGCCTTTCTGTTAGATGGCACTTGGCAGCAGCATGCACCACATTTTTTAATCATACTTTGTAAAGACCCTCAAAAAAGAAAACTTCCAGAACTACTTCAGAAGTGGCAAGAAGGCTGGGGTCAGTGCATTTGAAGCAAGGGGGAGAAGTCTGAGGCACACTAATAGTAGTGTGTCTTTTACTTAAAAACATTCTATTTTTCCATCTCCCCTTGCTTTTCTTATTTAATGATTTTCCTGGCTGGGAGAACTAGTGCGCAGGGAGTTGAGGCAGGAGGACTGCATTGAGTTCAAGGCCAGCTTGAGTTACATAGTGAGGGGTGTAGCCCAAGGCGATTTAACTCAGTGGTGCAGAGCCTGTGTGGGCTACATAGTGAGTTCCAAGGCCAGTGAGACCCTGTCCCAAACAAACGCATAAACAAATAACAGACCTTCCTGAGACTCAAGAAGGGAAAGAGGTATGCCCAAGGTTACATGGCCGGGACCCACTAACTAGGAGCCTGCAGCTTTTTCTCTATGAATCGATGACCCCCTTAGGCCTGGGCACTGGGGACGGTTTGCTGGAGGTAGAGGAAGCCTGTTTCCCAGAAGTGGCTTCAGAACAGCCAGCACTTTTTCTGTGTCTGTTATCTGTCATCCCAGGATGGCACTCCAGACTAAGCTGGAAGGTGGGCCCTCCCCAGGGCACCATAATGCAACAAGTCATCAGAGCCCAAGGACAGTCAGAGGAGAGACAGCATCCTCAGACCATAGCGGCACCAAGCGCAGCGTGACCAAGCCTAGCAGGCAGATGCCTGTAATCCCAGCACTCTGGAAGAGAGGCTGAGGCAGACAGATTGCAAATTCAAACCTAACATAGGCAATTTAGTGACTTAGTGAGACTCCATCTCGAAATGAAAACTAGAAAGGGATGGGGATGCAGCTCAGTGCAAAAGTCCTGGGTTCAATTCCCAGTACCACAAAAACAAATAAATAAGCAAAAAAGCAAAGTTCATGGAGTGCCAGGGCTTCTCAGAAGAAGCCCGATGCCACCATGAAGCTGACCCACGAGGCCAAGATACTCGGGGTCTTGGGCTCCTATGGGTACCCCACCTCTTCTCAGGGTCTAGAGGCCGTGTCTGTGTGGGAGTCCTCTGCCCCTCTCCAAGCTCAGCTCACAGGCAGAGGCAAGGTCTTTCCTCCAGCTCTGCTCCCTGTAGCGCCACGGGTGTACGGCTCATTGGATCCCCTCTCCTCTCTGGTCTCTAAGCTCCTGTGTTTGCTCTGGGTGGGGAGGGGTGGCAGCTCCAGGGACCAGGGGAGGAATTGCCATCTCAGGGGACAATAGGCCTGATTACCCAAATAGAGCACACAGCCAGGGCCCTGCCCCTCAGGCTGGTCCCCTCCATTCTTCAGTTGAATAAACACCATCTGTCTGGTAAGGAGACATGGACGGTGGGCACAGAGGATCTGCTCCTCCTCGGCCAGGCTCTTCTGTGACAACTGGTCAGGGGACTCCTGAGTTTGTCGCCAGCCTGTATCCCAGCAACCTTCCAGCCCACTGACTACCCAAAGTGCCACCCAGCCTGCCTGTCCTCTTCCACCTTCCTGCTGAGGTTGGAGGCCCAGCCAAGGCTGGGGAACACAGTAACAATAGCCAAGCCTTTGAGGAAAGGATTTGGTTGGGTGGGTGGGAGGGGAGTGGCCCAGCTTGGTGCACAAAGCCCAGGGCCAAGGTTCAAAAGCTCCTTGTAACTGAGGGAAAGATGGGAGACTTGGCCACCGGCTGCGGAACGTTCAGAACAGCCCAGCCGCTGAACATGCAGGAACCCCTGCTAGAGAGCCAGCAGGTTCTGCTGTCCCCGAGGCCACTTTCCCCAGCCAGCTCTGCCCATCTGCAGGTAGTTTCTTACAGCCTTTGCAACCTAACTTGGGGCTTCTGTCCCCAGAACCCCCAGAACAGAATCCTAGAAACTTCCTCCTACTCCCCACCTTGCACATCAAAGAACTAGGGGCTGGGTGCCTGCAGGCTGTCCTCCTCCTGGTCCAAGGACCACTTCTTCCCTACCCCTTCAGGACCCTAACCCTGCCCAGCCACTCCCTTCCTATCCAGTCCTCTCATGGGACCTTTGGCTTCTTTCCTCCAAGGAAACCCTATTTATTTATTTATTGATTGATTGATTTTGGTGGAACCAAGGATTGAACTCAGGACCTTGTGCTTCCCAGGCAAACACTTATTCTACTGAGCTATCTCCCTGGCCCAGATTATGCTTCATACAGGAGGAGCATTCTAAAGCTAAAATTCTGTGCCAATCCAAGGCCATTTTTTCTTTTGCCAAAAAAGAGGAAACAAAGTCTCCAGAGGCCTGAGGCACCTCCATTCTTAGTGTTTCCCTACCCACTCAGGAAGGCAGATTTAACATTCTGGGAACTGGGTCAAGATGAAGTCCTCTTCACCCCAGCTGCCTCTCCTTAACCTCTTGTGGTGTATGGAAGTTCTTGGGGTGTGCTCTGTCTCACTTGTTACATCCCCAAGACCTCCCCTTTTGGTCACCCTTGGTGGGACGGGTTGGGGCTTTGGCCAGCCAACGGCTGCGGAGCAAGCAGAGCAGAAAGCTGGAAGGAAGAGAGAGTGGCCTGGAAAAGGGGAGGGGGGCTTGGGGGAGGTGCTGGGGTGAGAGGCCACGGCCATTGTCCCGCCACCTCAGATGCCCTGTCGGGGCGGGGGCGGTCTCGTGATGTTCAGGGCAGGAGGGGGGAAAGGGACGGGAATCTGAACTTTCCACATCGGTCGGGCGCCCAGCACGATCAGGTTGCAACATGACCTGGGCTGGTGGCCAGGACTTGTGGGCCAAGGTTACTCTGTCTCCAGCCAATGGGGTCCCGTGGCCAGGAGACATGGGAAGGGACTCAGCTCCTCAATGCCCACCCCGGCTTCGGACCCTAGAGGTGGCGACAGGCGCGGGTAGGTGGCCAGCGGTTCTCCGACCGGGAAGAGCCGCTGAGGAAGAATTCGTGTATTTCCATACAGAAAAAAAGATCAAGGTCGGCCGATCCCCCTTTCTTCTCTACTGTTTTTGGTTGATAATTTATCCCGGCCCCTCCACTGCAGGGAACTTTGGTCCAAGGCACTGGGCCAGGACCCCGATTAGCACTCCTCCGGGACACGGGCGTGGAGTCGGAGCCGGGTGCGGCCTGAGCGCTCCGTGCCACAAGCCGGGGTCCTAGGCTTCACTAGGCGCTTGGCCTCCCCTGCACTAGCCCTGGGCAGTCTGCAGCACCCCTGCCGGGCCCACAACCTCTTTGAACAGCGCCCCTTTGGGCCAGTTCGGGGCATCCCCCTCCTGGCACCCTTGCTCTAGCTGGTCAAGAAAAGGTGTCCCAGTAATGGGGATGGGGGACGGTGGTCACAAGACTGATTCAGTTTCAGTCGATGCTAGCCAGTAATTGGGATAAGCAAACCCAGCCTGGTGGCGCAGGCCTGTCATCCCAGCGCTAAGGGAGGCTGAGGCAGGGGAATCCCTGATCAGAGTCAAGGCTTGGCAATTTAGTGAGATGGGCCTCAAAATAAATAAAATAAAATAAACGGGTGATGATGTAACTCAGTGCAAAGGCCCTGGGTTCACCCCCCCCCCAGTACTTAAGAAATTGGGAGGACTATGGGTGCTGGGAGTATAAAGGGATGCAGGAAAAGAATGTGTCTCTGAGGGGGCTGCTGGTCAGGAAGTTGGGGTCCGGGTCCACAGCAGGTGGCCACGTGGAATGGCTCAGGGATGGAAGGTGGGGATGAGTCAGGATGGTCTAGTGTCCTGAAAGTGTGAGGGATGTCAGCCTTGGGGACAGCGCTCAGGGAGAAAGACACTTGGGAAAGGTGACTGGTCCATTGAGGGACCGCCGGCTAGGCAGGGATCAGAAGACACAGAGGGCTTGGGGTGGGGAAGCCCCGTGGGGGCCAGAGCCCCTGGAGCAGTGGGGACCAGGCGCGCGAGTGGCGCGCGTGGGTGACCAGGGCCGCCCCAGCGCGCCCGCAGCAGAGAGCCAAGCCGTCGGGTCCGGAGCCGCCCTCACCTGTAGGCCAGGCTCAAGCACTCAAAGAGGCGGGTCAGTGTGGGGTCGATGCTGCGTGGCCCGAAGTCACCAAGCCCTACGGGTCCCTCCTGGTCGCGCCGCCGGGTCAGGGAGTCGCTGTGCGGCGATGACACCATGAAGTGTCCGCTGTGGATGACCTGTGAGCGGAGCAGGCCGCCAGTGCTGCGCGGGGGACCCGGGTCCTCCGAGTCTGTGTCCGAGTCCGAGTCTGGGCTGGAGACAATCCGCGGGACCTGCAAGCTCGAGGCCAGACCTGCCAGCGCCCGGGCCATGGTCGCGGCTGCAACCACCTCGCCTGCACTTCCTCGGAGCTACTTGCGCGCTCCAGGTGGCCCGTTTGGCCTTATTAGCATGGCCCCGCCCCTTATCTGGGATAGGCCAACGGCGTGGGCGTGGTCTTGGCGAGGCGACTGCAAGCAGGCCTGGCGGGTATTATTGTAATCAATACCCCAAGGGTGAGTCTCGGAGCTCTAACTGTCTGCGCTATCACTTCCAGAAAGGCCAGCTGTCACCTCCTGATCCTCAAAGCTCCTCAGTGCCTGGCGTTCGTGCATCCAGCGAGGCAACCCCCCGCTTCACCCGCTTGCCCTACCTCGACTCACCTTTACCCCTGCCTCGGTCCTCTGCACAGCCGGGAGCCCCCACCTCTCCATGGGGCGTTCCACACAGGCAATGCCCCAAAGGCCGGGCTCATGAGAGCTTGTTAGCACCCCTAGTGACCTTTGGGATCGCTGTTACCGCTACACATAAGTTCCGGGGATCTCCACGTGTGACTCCTGCAAGACTGTAGGACCCCTTGGGAGGCCTGGGGGTACAGCTCTGTGACAGGTGCCTGCTTGGCAAGCGCAAGGTACTTCTGAGTTTGATTCCCGGGCTGTTACCGGTGGGGGCAGAACAGGAGACAAATCTAGCCTTGCCCTTGCCCACTGTATGACCTGTCTGTGGTCCCGTGGGAAACCAGGAGGAAGGGATTGACTGTGTATCAGAGCTTCGGGAATGGGTCACACACTTTGGTTGTCTTGGGGGCTTGTGATACTGGGGATTGACCCCAGGGCCTTTGCACTGAGCTGCACCGCAAGATCTTTTATAGTTTTTTGACAGGTTCTTACTAGGCCAATAAACCCCCCATTCTGGACTCCAACTTTGAATTCTCCTGCCTCAGCTTCCTCCTGCTGGGAATACTATAGGCATGTGACACACTCCTTCCATCACCTTCCCCACCACCTCCCAAGGCTGGGTACCCCCTCTGTCCCCACCATGGTCATCTGCATAGTCACCTGACCCTTGCTGGCTCTCTGATGCCCTGGGTGGGGAGTCCATTCTCCCTGCCCACCTGCCGCCATCTGTGAGGGTGTTCCCCAAGTTGACCATGGCCAAGTGTCCCTTCTGAGATCCGAGCAGAGCCTGACAGAGTTGTTGCTCTCCGCTTAGTTGTCCGGCTTCTCTCCTGCTCTGCCAGCCTCTTGAGGCAGGACTATGTTCTGGGGTCGCTGAAGCCTCACACCAGATACCGGGGAACTTTGGGAACGGTTGGGGAAAGAAGTGGAAGGCTGGGGAAGCTTAGGGTCACTGTCTGTGGCAGGATAGGTGCCCTGGATCCAGCAGACAACCTGGACAATCCTTCCTCTGCCACTAATCCCACAAACACAGGTGAATCTCCCTTACTGGGGTTCTGTCTCTCCTGGGAAATGGGGGGCTTCTTAGGGCCCAGCATTTTTGATCACTCTTGGCTCAAAGTTTCTGCCTCAGTATCCCCAGTTCCCTCCAGGTTATTCCACTGGCCTTGTGCCCCAGCAGAATCTTGGCACAGTTCCCTTCCATTCCAGAGACTTCCCTGAGCTGGTCTGCATCCAGCCGGAGGATCAGAGGTGAGTTCTCTCCCTCACCCCACATGCCTGGCTTTCCCAGCCACTGCCTGACCCTCGAAAACCATCTGCTTGTCCCTTCTGCCCTCTGCAGGGTCTCAGACACCTCTGGGGGACCCAGAGCCAAAAAGACAGCAGACAGTCCTGCCTAAGAAATTACAAGCAAAACAACACCAAAGTCAAGTGTGGTGGGACATATCTGCAACCCCACTACTCTGGGAGGCTGAGGCAGGAGGATCACAGCCTGGGCAATTTAATGAGACTGTCTCAAAATAAAAATAAAAATAAAAGAGTGGAGCCTGTAGCTCAATGCAAAGGCCCTGGGTTCAATTCTTAGTGCAAAACAAAAGCACTGAAGTAAACAAAATGGGAGCTGTCCACAAATTCTGACACAGTGATTGCAGGATGGCCCTGCCCAGCTGGCAGCAAAGGTTTGGTGTGAGCCAGCCTGGCTCACCTCTCACTGCCTTCCCATCTGCCCTCTATTAACCTCTGCCTGGAGTTTATGCCTCTAAATAAACAAACCCAGTTCACAGTCCCTGGAGCTACAAGACAAGGTTCTCTTCAGGCTGAAAAGACTTGGCAGTCCCCAGTGGTCCCACCTGACACTGTGCCCTCCCTGCCTCCCCACCTCAGCTCTTAGGGCTTCTCCCCAACTGTCCCCCCTTGTCACGAGCTTGCCAAGCTTTGATGGTCCCCCTCTGACATCTTCCCCGATTTCCAGGTTACTACCGGTGTCCCCACAATCCTGGTTCCCATCAGTACAAGGACTATTTCCTTCTGCTCCTGGTGGCGAGTCAGAGGTGCACAGGCCTCCTCTTCCCACTAGGTGGCAAATTCCTTGCAGGCGGGAGCTGCATCCTATTTCTCTCCATAGCCTATTTCCTCCTCAAGTGCAAATGCACAAGTGGGTATTTGTTGAATGAATGAGCTTATGTTACAGGAATCTATTAGATACTCTATCCATCCACCCAGCCAGCTAGCGGGCCATCACACAGAAAAAATGTGTGTTTGTCCCAGTGCAAGATATTTAATGACGGGGTTGGGGAGATGGTTCAGTGGAATAAGCGCTTCCATGGCAAGCGCAAGGGCCTGAGTTCAATCCCCAGTTCTGTCAAAAAAAATAAAAAAATAAAAAAATTAATGAGGAGGGGTAGTTTAAAACACATTAATTGACCACCAACTGGACTATACTGTAGACACAAGAATTGATATGTTGGGGTGTTTCATTTTTACTTGAGCCAAGGTTAAATGCTGTCAGGCTCTGTGGCACACTCCTAGCTACTGGGAGGCTGAAGCAGGAGAATTGCAAGTTCAAGGCCAACCTGGGCAGTTAGTGAGACCCTGTCGCAAAATAATACACAGTAAGCAAATGACAAACTTTAGAAAAGGCCAGGGATAGTGGGGTGTGCCGGTAGTGCTGGCACTGGGGAGGGTGGCGAAGAGCCACGTACAATAGCACACGTCTGTAACCCCAGGAAGCTTAGGCAGAAGAATCTCAAGTTCTAAACTAACCTGGGCAGTTTATTGATTTTGCAAAGCCCTATTTCAAAATAAAATGTTTTGAGGGGCCGGGGATATGGCTCAATGGTATAAGCACCTGCCTGGCAAGTGCAAGGTCCTAGGTTTGATCCCTGATACTGAAAAACAAACAAACAAACAAACAAAAAAAAGTTTTGAAAAACAGCTGGAGTTGGGGACCTGGGAGATGGCTCAGTAGAATAAGTGCTTCCCTGGCAAGTGCAAGGGTCTGAGTTCACTCTTTTGAGACAGTGTCTCACTATGGAGTTCAGACTGGTCTTGAACTCACTGTGTAGCCATGACTGGCTTTAAAGCCAAGATGATCCTCCTGTCTCAGCCTCCCAAGTCCTGGGATTATAGGTATGCACCACCATGCCCAGTTCAGAAGTGTGTCAGTATTTTCACCATTTCACAAAAGGGAAAAACTGAGGCCCTGAGAAGCTCTGGAAGAACCTTGTGGAGGAGAACAACCAATAGTCAACATTTATGGAGCGCTTTCCACTTGTAGACCCACAGAATCTTCGGAAGCACCTCATGACTTTGAACCTATCTTGTAAACAAACATTAGGCTTTGCTAAAGGACACAGCTTGTGTTTTGTTTTGTTTTCAGTGCTGGGCTTTGAACCCAGGGCCTGGAACACACAAATGATCTATCACGGAGCCACGCCCCCAGTCCCCAAAGGTCAGGTTAAAGGAACTTGGGTTCAAACACAGCCAGTTTGAAGCCAGTCTGTTCCACAAGCAAAGATCTCAAATTAAAAGGACTAGTACACGCTCAGAGTTCCATCCCCTTGAGCGACTGCGGCAGCTTCCTTTGAGTCCGAGACCAGCCTGGGCAGCACAGGAAGATGCTGTCTCACAAACAAAACAAAAAAACAACAAAAATAAATCTGGGTTCAATGGCGCGTGCCCAGGATCCCAGCACTCAGGAGGCTGAGGTAGAAGAATCACCATGAATTCAAGGCCAGCCTGAACTACAGAGTGAAGCCCTGTCTCAAAATAAAATAAAATCCCCCCAAAACACCAGTTTGGAAAAGGATTAGGCAACAGCCTCTAGGGGGTGTCTCAATGCAAGTATTTATTTATTTATTGTTATTATTTTTTCATGCGAGGTATTTCATGGGAGGAGAATCTAAACCCATTAATTGCTCAACAATGTTAGGACCCAGCAATTCTGCAGAAATGCGCCTCTCTGCACCAAAGGCTGTGTAAAGGCCACTCCCTGCAGCCCTGGGCTTATCTGCCCAGTATTGGAAGCAACTCAGATTACCTTATAGACAAACACGTGGAGACAACACACACTGTGGAACGTTGCTTACACCATGATAAATGTGACAGGGTCTGCTGTGGTGTTAGGAATCAGGGTCTCATTTAGCCTCGAGGTGAAAAGAACAGCACCTTTCCGAGGGTGCTGCTACCATTTTACTTCTTGATCTAGGTTCTGGTCACAGAAGTGTGTCCCTTGGAAACACATTGTACCAGATAGTTAGGATATGACACTTTTTACATGGACTTAGAAGCTATTTTTTTTTTCCTCTAATTTCTTTTTCTTTCTTTCTTTTTTTTTTTCTTTAGTGTATTTGGTTGTTACAGGGTCTCACTATGCAGCCCAGACTTGTAGTGATTCTCCTGTTTTCAGCTGCTCCAGCACTGGGATTACAGGCATATGCCACCACGCCCGGACTCTGTGGGCGGCTCGTCCTGCTTTGGGGGCGGGACTGGCACCACCTGTGGTCTCCGTGCTTACCTAAGCTTGCCTAAGCAGGTGCTTTAGTCCGCTGAGCTATCCTGCTGGCCCCATAGAAGCAATTTTACTATTTGATTGTTTGGGTTTGTGTGTGCATGTGTGTGTGTGGGGGGAGACTGGGGTTTGAACTCAGGACCTTGCACTTGCTAGGCAGGCACCTAAGCCACTGGAGCTATCTGCCCAGCCCTTCCATAGAAGTAATTTTAAAAGAAACTGCTTGTACATAGACGCAAACACAGGCACCAACCACCCCACACCCAAGTCTGGTCACAACAGCACACAGGTGCTCAATGGGTTATTTTTCCCACTCCCAGCCACAGCCACCTCTCTGACTGCCCTGATAAGGTCCCCTGCCACACCTGTTTCCTGCTCCTGCAAACCGCAGTCTCAAAGCCTAGCTTTCGAAGGAGCCTTGCTCAGCCTGAGCACCCCACGACCAGGAACACAACCTCCACCTCTTCTTGCTGGTTCCTCAGCTCCTTCTTCTGGGTGGGACTTGCAGGGCTGCCCCGTGTGAGGGCATCTAAGCCCGGGAAAAGGGGACAGTGATAAGACCCAGGGGAGGATCTGGCAATGGATGATGAGGTGGATAAAAGACTCAGCTTGTACCCCTATAAAATAGGTGGGCAGCCCATGAAGGAAACGTCATGACTGTGATTACATTAAAATGACAGTCAAACTGGCCATGGGTACTGCCTGTAATCCCAGCACTCAGGAGGCTGAGGCAGGATTGTCCTGAGTTTGAGGCCAGCCTGGGCCACATAGTGAGTTCAAGGACAGCCTTCACTACAAAGCTAGACCCTATCTCAATAAATAAATAAATAAATAAATAGGAAATGACGGTGTCAAAACAGAACAATTTTTATTACAGAAGCACTTAAGTCTTCTATATCAAAAAATACAAATCCCTGTATTTATAAAACACTGCTTCTGGGGCTGGCCTGATGGCTTAGCGGGCCAAAGCGCCTGCTTAGGCAGAGCACAGTGGCCAGGTTGCTCCCAGGCAGTGTTGCCACGCCAGCCCCGTCCCTGGAGCTGAGATGGTAATTGAGACTGGGCGTGGTAGCACCTGCCTGCAATCCCAGCGCTTGGGAGGCTGTAAAGAGGAGAATCACTACGAGTCCGATCTACAGGGTGAGACCTGAACACCCTGTAGACCCTGCCCTAAACACAGAACAAACCAAAGCAGAACACCGCTTCTCTATGTGACTTTACTGATACGCAGATAGCAATCACTTTGCTCATACATTTTTAAATTACAAAAACAGAGAGTCCTGTAGACTGTCTCTGGTTCTGGTTGAGAAGCATTTGTGCTTTGAGGTTGTAGGAATGAAGGAAGAGCCAGATGTGGTAGTGTGTGCTCTTAATCCAGCATTCTGGGAGGCTGAGGCAGGAGGATCCCAAATTGTAGCCCAGCCTGGGCAACCTAGTCAGTAAGACCCTCTCCCTGAATTGAGCTCAGTGGAAAGACTCTGGCTTCAGTTTTGAATACAACTCTCTCTCTCTCTCTCTCTCTCTCTCTCTCTCTCTCTCTCTCTCTCACTCTCTCTCTCTTTCTCTCCATCTCTTTCTTGGAGGTAGAGCCAGGCATGGTACTGTACACCCCTGTACTCCCAACATAGTGGAAAGCTGAAGCAGGTGGATTCCAAGCTCAAGTCTTGCCTAGCAACTTAGTGAGATCCTGTCTTTTTTTTTTTTTTTCTTTCAGAACCGGGGATTGAACTCAGGGGCTTGTGCTTGCCAGGCAAGCGCTTATTCTACTGAGCTGTCTCCCCAGACCCAAGATCCTGTCTTAAAGTAAAAAATAAAAGGGATTGGGGACATAGCTTAGAATCACTGGGATCAATCCCCAGTAAAACACACACACACACACACACACACACACACACACACACACACTCATA